TGAAATTTATCTTCAAATATTTGACTGAAGTTTTGAGACGTCTCTCTTGATTTCGTGAGATGTGAGACATTTAATTAAAATTGACTTAAAATCTAAAGAAATACATGGAGAACCGGTTCAGATAACTTAAACATGGGGTAGGCAAAGACTTTATATATTTGCATATTTTATTACTGGATATAAAAAGCAATTTTTCAAATAAATGCCAGTTCTTCTGAGCTTTCTACCCATTTATCTGTAGCAAGATCAAACAGAGTACGAAATTTCAGAATGCTCTGACTTCCTAAGCTGCACTAAAAATATTTTAGTTCTGGCTGTCCAACGTAAGTTACTGGAGGATGTTCTGTGATTTAATTGGTCTCTACTGGTTTTATGCTCAAAGGACAGTTTCTTTGAGATAGCTGGCAAAACTCTTGTAAGAAAAACAGCAATCAATATCCAAGATGGGGTTATTAGAGGAAAATCTTATCTTCTTTGTCTAGATCAGTTTAAATTTTTATACATTTTTTTTTCAATTTTAGTCACTGAAATATTATTTTTAAATTATTAATACCGCTCTGTCTGTCATTTGATGCCCTTTGTTGCTTTCTGTAACTGACTTCAATACCAGATGAGAGTTGCTGAAGTTTAGATTGAAATCCTTTGCCATTTCCCAGAGAGAATTCCCACCTAGCCCAAAGCCTGAACCTCTGAGAGCTGCAAGAGCAGCACAGAGCACTGGGAGCATCTGCAGAGAGCTCAGGAAAGAGGAATTTAATGCCTTAAACCATCTCCCACACGGCTGCTAAGAGATGTGTCCTACTAAAAACATCCACACTGTCCAAACACGCTGTTTTATTAAGTATAAATCATCTTCCAAGCGATTCTTTACCCAGGTTTTTATTGTTTACACCTGCAGATATCTCAAATTTGCCGTGAGTTTGTGCATTTTGGGGCTGGAGTTGCCTTTACACCCCACCCCACACATTCCCTGATGTGACACATTTACACACACAAATTGTTTTAGGCGTCCACAGCCTAAAACCAAAGAGTGATTGCTGATATTGGTTCTTGATTAATACAAAGGGTGACCACAGAAGGACAGAACCATTAAGGAAAATATCTCCAAAATATCACCAAACTCAGCCTCTGGGAGGTGGTTAATGGGGGTGGTGGTGTAGGGGCAAAGTGCCACCAGCTCCACTCGTTTATTTACAGTTTATTTAGGGTTTGAGGCTCCTCCACTTCCCTGGGCAGCTCATTCCCATGCCAGACCACCTTTGCAATTAAGGAATTTTTCCTTATATCCAACCTGATTATTGATTTTTAGTTTAAAAAATAAATAATTAAAAAGAGAAGGTGATTATTGAGTGATTCTTCATCCAGTGAATTCAGCCTACTACTTCCAGTGAATGCCTGAATAATCAGTTTTTAGCAAGTGGAAGTGAAGGTGTAGCAGGAGGGCAAAGGAGTCTGCAGAACTTTGGATTTTTTTGGCAGGTGGAAACTCATTAAAACAGCACAGGCTTGAGGAGGTGGGAGATGGATTCTGTACTGCTCTTGAGACAATGCTCACAGAAATATTCCTGTTTCATCTGCCTGATAAATGGTGATCTTGGAAAAGAAAGTGGTTCTTCTGCAGGCAGCTGTGCAATTCAGTGCCTCACACTTCCTTTCTCTGAGCGCTATAAAGATGAAGTCTATTGCCTTAGACATTTACAAATCAAATCTTTTCATGCCACTAACTGCTTTTAGAGAAAAGCACAGATGTAAAATCCCTGCTTGGCTCTGAAGGGAGGCCAGCAAATCAGCTCACCACTGCCTCGGCAGAACCTGCAGTCCCATGGAAAAGCTGCTGCTGAGAGGAGCTGTTCCTCTGGATCCTGGGAAACAACTCTGCACTTAAAATAATGGAAAAGGGACAAAACTCTGGGGTGGCCAACTCTGCATCTAAATCCTGCTCTTAGAACAAAGAGCATCCGTCCATCCCCTCTGCAGCTTTCTGGGGCTGCAGCTGGGCTCTGGGCTTTGAGCTGCACTGCAGAAATGTCTCAGTTTGGGGGGTGGGATTGACTTCTTTCAATTGTTTTCTGTTCTTTATTTGATTTCTGGAAGCACAGGCATTTTGCTGTGTGCCAGCCACACGTTTGGGGAAGGGCTGAAGGCTTGAGGGGGCTCTGGGAGGGGAAGGACAAAGCCCCTGCCTGGATTGCAGCTGGTTTCCAGCCAGAGGCACTGGACAGACCCTCACAGAAAACTTCCACACACTTTGATTATTTGGAGGCTGTGAATTCAAAGGAAATTATAGAAATTCTGCCACTCTCCTTCTCTTTGTGGAGCTAGATAAACTGGTTGAACACTTTTCTGGTTTTAAGGTGTAATGCCTCAAAACATCAAACCACCAGCAGAGCACTCAAAACTGAAACAACAATGTCAGTTTGATTTGAGTTTAATCTAATTCAGGATAGAGCTGAAATCTTATATAACACATATGGCAATCTTTATTTATATCTTCTGGGAAACTTACACCAAGAATGGGTTTGAAGCAATTTAAATCATTAAACTGAGAATGATGTCAGCCCAAAGAATGATCAATATTGGGACAAAATCTGATTTTTGAGCCTTCAGCAGATCTGGAATTGCTTTCATGAACTGACCTCTAATTTTTATTTTTTTTCTGTTTTTGAGATCTAAAGATGTGAGTGGCATTGAGATGTCAGTGTATAAAGTTCTTTCCTCCACAAAAGCACAGCATGTTAAAATTGCAAGTGATAGAGGAGGCTTTTTTTGTCATGTAGCAGGAAACATTCTGAGTGACTCCAGCACGGTTTTCCTCTTGTCAACAAGTTAATTTGAAGAAAAATAGCTGTGCTTCCAAAATAATAGTGTCTCCTGTCATAGAATTGCTGAACACTTGGTTCTGCTACAAGGATTTTTATTAGAGAGAAGCAAGACTAATTTACAAACATCAAGAAGCAGAATGTGATAAACCTGGCTGTGCTTGGATGTTTAGAGAATCTGCACTGTCAGTTTAGCTACAAATGTGCTGTGGCAGTCAGGAACACTTGCCAAACTTCACTGCAGCCTAAGCCCACTTGATATTCTAAAAGGATTTCTCGGTTTTTTGAGACAGACAAAGGTTATAAAGTCTGACTTGATGTAGTGTATGTCTCCATCATCTGGGTATTCAAAAATAGAAGTTGAAGTCCATAAAGTCCATTGCAGCTGTTCAGTTACATGGATTAGAAATGTACACTTGAATTTATTTCATGTGGTATTTTCATTTGAGACATGCAAGAGAGGTGGAGGGAAGGAATGAAGCAGCAGTAAGGGATTCAAAAAGCTTTTAAGCTCATCCTAGAAGGAAATATATTGCATCTATCCATCAGTCACATTGCCCATGAGCATTTTAAAAACTCTGAAAGTCCAAGACCTTTTTGACAGTGACTGCCAATAAATGTGTAATGCAATTCTCTGTTTCATTCAGTATTTTGCACTGATGCAAAATATTATGAATTCATAATTGTCCACAGCGTGGCTGGAGATCTACCTCTATTTTGATAATGACAATTTCACAAACTTCTACAACTCTGTCAGCATAGCCTTCAGTAATTTCCCTGCTTTGGATTCTGATGAAGTCTGGAAATAGCTACAAAAACTGATATTGTGTGCTCCTGGGGCTGGTTCTGTGTGGCCTTAATTTGTCCTTTCTCCTAGAAAGAAACACATCATTGCAGCCTCCCTGCCACCTTTGTGAACACAAGCTGTTACATCTCTCTCTCTCTCTCCTGGATGTTTTTCTGAGCCTCCACATGGATGTTTTTATCACTGTTTAACTCATAATAACCTGAGACACCTGCTGAGTGCTCCCCCTGAACCCCCAGTCCTCGTGATGCAAACACTGAATGGCATTTCTAGCGCAAAGCTGGTTTAATTTGTTCCTTCAGCAGCAAATCAGAGGAAGGATTTTTAAATCTAAGGACACCTTCTTGTCTCCAGAAAGAGAGGGAGCGCTGGTAGCTGTGCTGCATGTAAATGAGAGTCAGCTCCGTAATTGGGAGGCTGAGCACTGGGTAATTATGACCTCTGAATTGGATGTCATGTTTATTTGAACACATATGTATCCCAGCTACAAATCAGCACTAAATTATACAAGTCAGGGCCTCTTTGACTTGAAACAGCTGCTAAAGGCAGAAATCAAGCACACAGAGACACCTGACAGAAACCCAGTCCTGCCAAGCTGTACTGGGAGATTTCAAACACCACCGAGTGCTTTTACCAATATTTTTGCTTTGACTTTTATCAGTGTAAAGACATTACGTGATTCCTTCTGAAAATAAAGATATCTAAGGAAGATGAAATGAGAGAAAAATCTATATCTGAATGTATTATTTGCCTGTTGCCTGAGAGAACAGTTCATTGCTGCATGGCTCTAACGAGCCACCCTGTGCTGGTGCTGGGCTCTGGCTGCATCCCTAATGAATGAAACAGTTCTGCTCTCTCCAGGCTCAAACAGCATTTTTGTAGTGACACACAAAGGCAGAGAATTTTACTTTTGATTCCACAAGAAAAGTTCGAGAGGGTTCTGAACTTCAGCACATCCAGAGCCAATCTGCTTGGCCAGAATGGAAGGGGAAGGATTTTCCAGTCAGTGCAGGAGGGAGCTGCTGCCTGACACCGGCACCTGGGGATGTTCCAGGCTCAGGGATCCTTGTCCTTGCTGGCTACATCCCTGTGCATTCAGTGGGAGAGAGGTAACACTGCAAAGAAACCTGCTGAGGAGTGGCTGGGGTGGTGAGAGAATGAGGGAGGGGTGAGGATGAGGTAAAACCATCACTGGAGTCAGAATCCCAGAACAATTTGGGCTGGGAGGGACCCAGAGCTCGTCCCATTCCAGTCCCTGCCATGGCCAAGGTCACCTCCCACTAGCCCAGGGTGCTCCAAGCCCTGTCCAGCACTCCACAGCTCTCTGGGCAGCCTGTGCCAGGGCATCACCATCCTCACAGGGAGAATTTTTTCCTAATACCTGCTCAGATTTCCTCCCTGCCAGTCTGAAGCCATTCCCCCACATCCTGGCACTATACACCCGTGTAAAAAGTTCCTTGATGAAAGGTATCTATGCAAAAATAATTTAATTTTCTCCTGGCTTTCTCAGTTTCTGAGGTTTTCTGAGGGAGAAGACAGGAATAGACATTAAATCAGACCTAAGATCTTCCCTCTCTCACCCCTTAATGAATGCCATAAAACCCAGCCTGCTGGGTCTCTCATTATCAGTTATCATGCTGGACCTAAAATAACTTCTCTCCTGAAGCTTTATCAGAACCTAACCTTCTCTAAAACCCTTTTCAGAAATTGTCACTTTCTTAGGAAACTAATCTTGGAAAAAGACCTGGCCAAGCGTTTTCCTGTGGAGTTTTACCTTAGACATCATCATGGTTGTGCATCTGTGATTACACACACACTGTCCTGCCAGCACTCTGGATCAAACACCATTTCTGTGAACACTTAGGTTTATTTGCAGCCACAGGCTTCTTTTTCATTTTTCCCCTGATATTTTTGTGTAACTAAGAAGCATTGGGAACTATTGATGCAGGCCTAATAAATTATTATTAATTTAATAATTCATTAAAGCCTCATGTATTTATGGCAGCATTTTAAACTTCTCAGTGGACCACTTGGATTTTGAGAGGAAATGTGTGAAAATCTCCATCTCTTTCCAGGCCAATCTAATAACAGAGGAGCTGTTCCACTCCTTACACTAATAACAAAGTTAAAACTCCTTATTCTAATAACAAAAGAGCTCTGCCACTCCTTTCACATTCTGTTTACAACAGCAGCCAGACCTTTTTGCTTTGTACTTCCTTGAACAGTTATCTGGCAAACCTGGGGACTGGTTTGTGCTTTTCTCACATGGCAGGAAAGAGAACCAAGCCATGATTACCATACAAATAAATACCTGAGGGATTTAACCTCTGGCCAAGTACAGTCTGAGGATGGCGTTGCATATGCCTGTAACATCACCAAAATAAACAGAGTCTCCTCAGGAGCCTGGCAATACATCAAACTGGAAATTCATAGCTGAGGAGGAATTTCTGCATAATCCTCACAAATCCAGGATTCCCTGCATCACCCAATACAGCCCCTCACTGCTGGAGACCACTGTGTCACATAAACCTCCACTAAGTGATGCATCTTATTCTAAATTAATGAGTTTTGTCTGACTCATTTTCCTCTGAGGTAACACTGCTTCCTCACCACCAGCTAAAGAAGAGGTTTCCAGCATAAATTCATTCTAGGACGTGGCATTTATACCTGTTCTTTGCTAAAAAATCAAACAGCTAACTAATGAAACAAAAAAAGAAAGAAATCCACCTTTTCTAGAAGGGAAGGTCTCATTTTCAGGCATTTATCACTTGATTCCCTTCAGAGAATACTTTGGGCTGCATTTTGCCAGAGAATTTTCTCTAAGTGTGGTGGGTCAGCCTTGGCTGATGACCAAACTCCCACCCAGCTCCTGGCTCCCTTTCCCCTCAGCTGGACCAGGGATGGAAAAATGGGAAAACACAAACAAATTCAGGGGTCAAAACAAGGAGACTGCACCCAGTGCAACAGCTCAGCCTTCTGCTCATGTGGGAAGTTTACAGAGAATTGTTATTTCAACCTGACAAACTCGGAGTTACAGTTATTTCAGTCTTTGTTATCAATTGGCAGCCACCTAATAAATACATTCCATCATCTCCGTGGGAGTTTTAGTCATTCAGATGGAAATTCCTGCTTCACAGCAATGTCCTACACCAGCTGCCAAATATAATCATCAATAATAATATTCTGGTGATGTGTTTTAACACTTTCCATGTCCCTATACTCCTGTGTGGTTTTATTATCTAGGAAGTATCTGAATTTAAATTTATACGTCCCATCCATGCAGGACATCTTCCTCTTTAAACCTGAAAACATTCACTGCACCTGTGAAATGTGACAGCAAGACAAAAAACAATCAATTAAAAGATTTTGAGCAGTCTAAATTACCATTGAATATTTTTTATCCTGATCTGTGACATGTTTGATGATTTTGGTGGTGCAGTAGAAGTGATTTTAGAACATCTTTTTTCCAGATCAACTTTAGATATTCAGGATTTTTGTCTCCAGCCAGCTGTGAGTGGCTCTGCAGTTGTCTCTCCACGCTCACAGGGAGGGAACAGGGACTAAGAGAGAAGATGACATCAATAAAACCTGGGCCAGCTCTTTCCCCAAGTACTTCTGGAAGCTTTTCTGTCCATTGTGCTGCAAATGTGTAACAAGGAATGATAATTTTAGCTGATTTGGGTTATTTTAGTGAGCACCTATATAAGTTTTTGCATAAATAGATATATTTAAAACTGTATCTATAACTTTTAGGTGTTCTTTGAATAATTGAGTAATACAATCACAGTTTTTTAAAATGTTAAAGAGAAGCAGACTTTTCTGTACAGAACTTCAACCTGTAGCAAAGGGGGGAGAAGGGAAGGGGTGTCAGCAGTATCTGCCATTATTACCAACATTTTCAGCTGCCAAATCCAGACTGCTTTAGGTCTGAAGTTTTCTGAAGGACAAAGCACAGCCCCTGTTAATTTCCATCTTAAAAGTTCCATCTCCAAAGTCTCTGTCTCATTCTTTGATGTGCAAAAAACTGAAGTGCATCCAGAATGAGGGCTTACCTGGGAGAACATGGCAATTAGTTCTGCATGAAAGCAATCAAGTCAAATTCAAGAAGAGGAACGAGCTCTTCTGTCTCAGACACTGTCCCAGGAGACCCTCCTTCCAAAAGGATGATCAAGAACACTGGGAAATATTTAACAGCAAAGGAATATTTTATTTGAAAAATAAAAGAGTGGTCCTTAAACAACTCAATTTTTGGTCTAAAGGGTTAAAAACCAAACTTTAAAGTGTTAGGTCTGGAAAAAAAATGGAAATGAGCTGGAATTTGTATTCTGAAGAAGAGCTAAAGTAGAGCAAGAGAAGAAAACAGCTGCTTCAGGAGAACAAACACTAAATTTATGAATGTGAGAGAGGACAGTGTGATTAAGCTGTTTAATGTACTGTGCAAGGCACCAGAACCCTTGGCTTTGTATATTTAACCAGGAAGGCTAAAAAACCCATGAGTCAGGGTCCATAGTGGGTTACCTCCCCGTTCTTCTGGATTATTTTTGAATTATTTCTTTTCCTTCTCCTGCTCCAGCCTGGATAAGCTGTATTGCAATAGGGAGGAGCCTGAAAAGGGCTGGCAGTCCCAGGCAGTGATGAGTGCCAGGGGACACTGAAGTGACACTTGGCCTAAGCCAAGCCAACAGGGTTTGCTCACCACAGCAGCTAGCAGAGCATCTCAGTATTTTACTGCATTCCTACACAGCTCATCTCCTAAATGGCTCCTGCAGAAAGCAACAAAGAGCAGAAATGCTAAAACTTTACTCAGATGAGAAAACACAGATTGAATTCCAGGAGGGAAACAAATGTAATGTCACCAGAGAAATCCAGTGACAGCCATAAGGGATGTGGGGAGGTACCCATATGCTTGCAATCAAATTTTGACATCACTTTCTCATTCTTATTCCTTGTTTTCTGTCTTGAATTTGGTTGTTTTAATCGCCCTTAAAACAAGAAAAATGTTACCCTATGCATAATAATGTGTAGGCTAATAGAATACTGTCTATTATTTATAGAAATATACTGCCCTCAAACCAGCTGCAGCAGGTAAAGGAAGAAGGGGAATTTTGCCATCCTGATTATCTACTGCTATTCTGGTTATCCTGACAGGCTCTGCAAGTCTGGGCAGAATTTGGGTCAGCTAATGAATACAGGAGGCTGCTGAGGCCTTTTATCCCTGCAAGCACGTGTGTGTTTGTACACTCAACACTCTGCAGCACTGCACCAGAAACAAAACCAGATGAACTGGAACTGATACTCAAGAGCAATTTCTGTGCTCACAGCCCCACACACTCCTGCAGTGGATGGGGAGTGGAATTTGGATCCCTGAGCGGTGAAAGGGATCGGTGTGTGCCTGGAGGAATAAATCACTGAGGAGCGGCAGGCTGCCTGTGACACAAGCCAGTAACTGGTCCTCCCAAGAGAAAATGCTGTGGAGAGCAAATGTGATTTCTCTGCAGGGAGTAAATGAGCACAGCTCTGCTCACTGGGACAGTTCCCTGCACGCTGAAGAGTTCAGTTCACGGCAGCTCAGCGTTGAGCTGAGCTCAGGAGAGCCTTGGTGTTCCTGCCTCAGGACAGAACAACCCTAAAGTCATTGCAGCAGAGACCTCACAAAACCTCCTAACAATCAAACATGACAGCACAGCACATCTTTTCTGGAGAATGGATAAACAAAGCGCTCAGCAGTGCTGGGATGAGCTTGCAGGCAACACAAATCCACCTCTTTTTCCACAGTCACACAAAACAAAGCTCGGTGGGAATCCTTTGTAAGGGCAGTTATGGAAGTTCTTGGCTCCTTCCATCCTCAGCAGAGATTCACCAGTACAAACCATCTTCTTCCTGTAGACAAAAATCTAAAATTAAAAGCTATTTTTGTGACTGTTTGCTGAACTAATCAGTTTTATTCTTGTTTACAATTACCCCAGAACATAAAAGAAACTGCTGGATACATGATCAGTTACACACTGCTTGCCAGTCTCAGCTATTTATGGTGCTAAATTATACAGCCTAAGTACAAAACCAAAAGTTGCCAAAAATCAGGGAATTCATAAATTGGGAAAGCAGAAGAGGAGGGATAAGCTAGTGCCATTAGAAACAATGGTTAACCTTTTTCAAAGGGATAATTCCATGTGCTATTCAACAGGTCAAAAATCAACACATTTCATCCATTTGAGTATGGTTTAGCAGGCACTATCCTGTGACAGCTACTGTCAAGCATACAGTTGGTGTTTTTTGTCTTCTTGAAATGATTTTTGGTTGTAGGACAAGTCCCAATTTCTAAGAGTATCATAAATGGCAAAAAAACACACATTTTGCATATTTTCATTTGGGTTGCAAATGAAGCAAGGTGCTTTTATACCGTGTGTCCTACTTCTTCCTGACGTTTAAACTCCCAATACAGCTACTTAAGATTTCAACTTAAAAGCTAATTTCCTAAAATTAATATTAATTAACGCTGCATTCTTTGTGTTTCCCCTACCTCCTCCCAGGCTCTCAGCTCCAGGTTTTCAGCTGGAATGGTCTCAGCCCCACTGCAGGCTTCCTCAGAGATCCCAGATTGGTGCCAGCAGAACCCTGGTGCTGCTCAGTCCCTCAGAACCCTCCATCTGTGTCCCTCCATCCCCAGCTCCAGATGTTCTGAGAGCCTCTCCCACCTCACCCTGGATCCCTATCCCAAATCTGCTCCCACCCAAACCTCCTGCCTGGGCAGGAGCAGCCTCAGCCTCAACACCCCTGCTGCCACAGATGAATGAGAAAGTGAAATTCCTCACTAGAAGCGTTCTAACAGAAATCCACTGAAAGCAAAGATCTCACCCAGGAAGGAGAGCAGCTCAGAGATCAGGCAGATTCCATCACACTGACGAGTCTGGGTTTCTCTTCACATCCACAGACCCACCGTTCCCATTGGTTTGCCACTGATAGGCATTTAGGCAACTCAATTATTTTATTATTGAAATTAGATAATGAGATAATTATATAAACTTCCTTTCTAAGCTCGTACATGCTCCACTGACACAGGCTGCAGAAATATTCCTGCCAAGAGTTTGATTATTAAATGTGAACTTGCTTCAGCAGAGAGGCAGAAATGCCCTCGATTCCTTGTCACACATCTGTGCTGCTCTTTTTTAGCTCAGAACAAAGTTCAAGACATGGGATGTGAATCAGCAACTAATCATTTTCCAAAATATTTGGTTTATAAATGTTTCCTTAGAATAAATATTCACTTTTAACAAAGGATTTTGTTGAAAAAGCTTTGCTTTTATTTTCATTGTCATGCTTTACTATGCACAACAAATCAGTTTTAAATGAAAAATAGTAATAATATCCTTACAAGTCACATAAACCAATGGCCTTTGTTTAACAAATAACCCTTGGACAAGGAACCAACACATTCTAGTAGTTAAATTTCCAGTAGGATAAACATTCCATCACTTAAATATCAAAGCTGCTGCCTTGAGCAGCTATTCACTGCTGGGACATTTGTGGGAGCTGAAGCTGCTGCCTCCCAGCTCTTTGTTCCCATTGCTCTTTTCCCAAAAATCTCCATTCCCAAGGAAGGGGATGCTGCTCAGGCAGCAGAACGTTCTGTACCAGGAGTCCCTCATCTGCCCCACTGGAGCATCAGCCAGGTTTACTCCAGCCCAACTGCTCATGCACTGTGGTGAATCTCAAGGAATGGAAGGATTTCTTCTAAAGATTAAATGTTCAGTGTCACGTACATTTTGCAACGCGGTAAAAATAAATTTAATTATCAGAAGAACTGCTCCAACACTGAGCCCTTTCCATGGGCTGCAGCTGTTCACAAACTGTTCCAGTGTGTGTCCCTGCCCATGGGATTTGATCTGAATGCAGTGTGGGTACCCTGCAGGGCCACAGACCCTGCCAGCAAACCTGCTCCACGTGGGGTTCCCAAAGGGACACAGCTGTTTTCAGGGATCCCCTGCTCAGCCCAGGCTCCTCCAGGGGCTGCAGAGGAACCTCTGGAGCAGCTCCTGCCCCTCCTTCTGCCCCACCCTGGGCTCTGCAGGGCTCTTTCTCCCGTATCCTCACCCCTCTCCTGTGCAGAAAGTCAGTCCCACATCAGCCCAGATGTGCTGCCACTGCCAGGCTGAGCCGTACCCAGAGCAGCTCCACGCTGGAGCCCTGGCTCTGTCAGACATGGGAGAACCTTCCAGCAGCTTCTGACAGATCCCTGTATCCCCCTCAGCACCAAAACCCAGCCAGAGGTGACAGAACAGCCACATCAGCAGCGCTGCAGGAGCCAGGCAGAGCTGCCAGCACCAGCAGGGCTCGGGGCTGGGCCACACTCAGTCCCCAGCAGCTGGAAACCCCTGGCCACAGGCACAAAATCTGTCCCCAGCAGCTGGAAACCCCTGGCCACGGGCACAAAATCTGCCCCCAGCAGCTGGAAACCCCTGGCCACAGGCACAAAATCTGTCCCCAGCAGCTGGAAACCCCTGGCCACAGGCACAAAATCTGTCCCCAGCAGCTGCAACCTGCAGAAGGTTTGGATGTCTTTGCATCATGCAAATGCACTCTCTCTCTGACATAGCAATAATCCCCAATTATAGTCTCGACTGCAGGAATATGCTGTTAAAGTCACGAGAAGGGAATAAAAACCTCCTGTTGAGAGAATATCCTTGATAAAGCAGCAGTGTCCTGGGTGTCAGCTAGGCCTAGGGACAGACAGGCTTTTTAATGTAAGACAGAACTGCTGGTTTTAGTCATACAGGTGGATTCATTTATAAATGCTGACCCTGACATATAATTTTCAATAAAAGCTGTGCTTTTCTATCTAATTTCCATCTTTCAGCTGAGACATTAGCATTTCTTATTCAATGTTCTTCCCTCTCAAGCATTACCTCAGATTAATTGGCACTGTATAAAATAAGTGCACAATGGTAACCATGGTAGCCTTCATCCTATCTTCACAATGCATATGCAATTCAGTTCTCAGGAAAACATAATTAGTACGTAGCATAATATATTCTCTCTAAACACATCACCGTGCCACGAAATACACTAAATCAAAGCAAATGATGCCTACAACCTCCACCCAACTGGGCTCCCATTGCTGAGCAGTTACATTTCAAATGAATATACTCTTAAATAGTTTTGCTGCAGCATCCCCAGCTTGCGTAATGCGAGTCTCTCCCTGTGTGCCTTTGCTTTCTGGCCAAAGGGTGGCAATGTTCTCCTGGCTATGGGCAGCCAGGCTGTGGGATTGTATTCCTGCAGGAACATCTCTTTCCAGCCAAGCCAGAAAGCTCTGCATCATTAACTGCAGAGCTAACTGGGTCCCAGAGCATCAGCACTGACCCCTTCAGCTCCGGGAACAGAGATATTAAAATACACTTTGGGTTTTAATCCAAGCAGCTGCGTGAAAGTACATTCACGTGGATCTCCTTATGGGGGAAATTAAACAGCATATGCAGCTTGAAAAGCAAGTTCTCTGTTCTTTATTGCACATCATCAGGGCCTGCAGAGGCTGCTCCTGGTGGCTTTGCAGAGGACAGTCGCTGCTGGGCAGGCAGTGAGGAGCTCCACAAGCCTGCCTGCCTGCCCAGAAGGTGCCACCCAGCCCCCTGAGACTGGTACAGAAACTGATGAACTCCTTGGAGAAGATCTGAGCACCTCCTTTGGGGATCTGAGGATTGAAATAGTCCGAAACAAACACCTGCAGTGAGGCTTAAACAGCCCAGCCAGACAGCGTGGCAGTGCCACAGCAGCAGGGACACGGCGTGCAGCTGTCACTGCTCTAATTAGTGTGCCAACAATTAGTGCAGTTAATGGCACAAACTGGGAATAATCACCTGGAGGAATAAACTGCTGCCCTTGTGCTGGATCCACGCCCGTGACTGCCAAACACAGTGTGCCCCACACCCAGAGGTTCAGACAGATTCCTCAAGGCACCAAAAGAGAAATTATGTTTTTCCTGGTGTTTCATAGGGGAAAAGTTACAGTAAGAGACCTAGAGAAAAAAAAATCCATTTTCAAATGCCACCAGTTACCTGTTAAATTGCTATTAGCTACAATAAGCAAAATGAGAACCACTTCTACACGAAACAGGAGTAACAAGAGCAAGGAGGTGTCCAAACCTATCCAGGATAGCTGGTACTCAGCAAACATGAAAGTAATTTAATTCTTCATCTGAATACATATTGGTTTGTTTACTGAAGTGTTACAAAGGCTGCTTTCATTAAGTTGGGATATCAGTGTGTCAGAGGAAATGCAGACATTCTCTACACCTGTGGTAAAAATTTCAGACAAGCGGTTTTGGACCCCAAACCAACCTGGAAAATATGATATGAATTAGTTGCCTGGCATTTAACTCATCCCAGAATTCTTAGCAATTTTCATATTTACAATATACATCTTTATATATTTATCATATATAAATTATATATCAATAATATCTATCTTTATCCCCTGTGCATGTGCATGAGAGGAAATACTTTCCAATCCGTACTAGAAAACCCTGAAACAGCTCTAATATTTTTTTAAGGATCTTTTCTGTCCTTTTTTTTTTATACCAAGGATATGCTGTGGACACTTTTCTCCTGGCACCACTGTTTTCAGGACAGAGGTGACATTCCCACTCACACCATCACCCTCGTGTCCCAGTCTGCCAGGATAACACACCAGAGCTCCACTTCAGACATTCATGGAAAAGGCAGCATCAAGAGCAGGAAATTCCAGCCACCCACATGCTGATGATGCTTGTGCACCTGACTGGGACTTTTAGATATGTCAGGGAGCATAAATAAACATTTCTGTCAAGTAACACTGCTACAAAACAACTTTTCAGGTAACAATGGGGTTGATTTTAATTCTATAGAAGCACAGAAATGCCCTCTGTTAACACTCTAACACTTAAATAGACATATCACACTTTTATGGCCATTATAAAATTTATTTGGCAAAAAAATGGGGACAACTGGTAAGATGGCAGCATTTTATGTGCAAAAGCATGCTAGTGCAGGAAAAGCTATTTATTGTCACACAGGTGATGACATTTACTTCGTGCAATTGCATTGGCTTATCTATCATCAAGAAGTGTTACATGACACCAGCTTTACGTTTCTCTGAAGATGCAACATCTCAACACAGGTTTTGTCATCTGGTCTCATCATGGCAGCAACTCTGAGAAATGCTTTAAAGTGCTTCTAATAATTGCAATATTGCATAATCTAATAATTAGTGGTTCTAATAATTCTAATAATCACTGCAGGTGTGAGCAGCTATGCCGGGACAGAGGAGAAATGTTAATTACTGAGCTCAAAAAGGAACAAGTCAAAATGAGCCGAGTTTCAGGTAGCAGAGCTTGGGAGCAGGATGATCACAAACTCCATTTGCCACACGTTTCATGCTCAGTTTCTGTCACCTAAACTTGGCTTTGCTTTCTGTCAGACGCCCAGGCAAGACTCTCTGAGACTGCAGAACATTTGGAACCCACCCTGCTAAAACACGGATTTCTGAGCCCTCAGAATAAGAGTTTTTATAACCCATCACATGAAAGGTAAATATAGCATGGAGGTGGGGGAAAAACGAGTTTCTGGATCTTGAGAATGATAATTAGGTACACTCAGCTGTCCCATGCCAAATGGCTGGGGGAAATCTTATAGGCATGCAAGGAACAGAAACACAAGTTAAATATCCTATTATTATCCTAACTAATATAATTTAAGCATTAGCACTGTAAAATACTGAAATATTTTAAATGCCTTTAAACTGCTGAAAACGAATTTTCTTGGTCATTAACTGCTGAACATTAGAAACTTTTTTTTTCCCATTCTTTAAGATTACTTAATGTTTGTGAAATTATTTGGACATAATTTAATTACTCGAAATTCAAAACCATTGCTGGTTTCAGTCATCCTTTCCCAAGAAACCTTCTTCAACTGCCAACATACCAATATTTACCATGTCTATATATAGGGAATAAAATGTCTAGATGTATGCTGTAGGAAGCAGTGCTCCTTTCAAAGTCTCAGGGTTTTGGTACCAAAAAGATACGAAGTGATTCATCAGGGAAAACTCTCAGAAGGAAAGCTGAAAGTGAGGAGCCTAAAAAAAGCTTTTTCCACTGAAGTGCAGTGGAAAGACAAAACCAGCAGCATTTGTTACACAAAGGAGAAGCTGCTGAAGTTACCACGAGCAGAATTTCACACCACAGATCCTACACAGAAGCTGCTCTTTTTCCCCAAGCTGAAACACCAAGTTTCTGGATCAATATTGCAGATCCACAACTTGCAGATGCAATTCCAAGGAATAATATAATGCAAGGTGCCTCCAGACACTAACTCACAACCAGGCAATGCAGTTAAAATATCGGAGTGATTTGCAAACCAGCAAGGTTTTATGAACCACTTCAGATCACCTCCAATATTTCTAAAGTACTGTGTGTATATTTATACAACAAAAGGAGAATGAAATCAGCATGACACCAGCATTAGTCTTTTTGATGTCTGCAGCACACTTATGTCAAGATTTCTGCCGTAATACACCTTAAAACTTTCTGACAGTTTGCAGACTTTCTGAACGTTTAGAAATGTTCAGAAAGTCTGCACTTACAGTGTTGGCAGTTATTTTTCTCATTTTGGGAGGAGGGATGACATTATTCTTAGAATTAGAGATATATTTATAGCTGCAATACAAATAGAGCCATCCAAATGTTACTGAGCTGATCCCTTGTCCCAAGATCTGAAACTAAATACAGCCTATGTGTTGCACAGATACAAACAGAAGTTCCAAAACTTGTGTTTAAAATGCTTACCAAACCTTAGAGGGATTTATATTCATATTTCTGAGCATGAAAATCATGTGGGGGCTTCCCAGTCAGCCTTCAGACGAGACTCCTTTGCTGTGCTCGTGAGTGTAAAATACTCATTTCTCCTTTTTTGTTAAGCTGGATGCCATTAAGGATAAATGGAATAACAACTGTATAATTATTCTATATATAACAATAAATATATAACAGAGCAGCATGCAAATGCACGTTCAGGGAAACAACTGGTGGCTTCTGCTATATAAAAAAATAAGGCTGGTGACAGCAACTGCCCAAGTGACAACAAAAGGCATGATAAGAGAGTTGTGCCACCAAGATGAGCTTTACAAACTCTGACACCCATCACTACTGACTTCTTTACCAGATCACATTTCACAATGTGTCTGAGAATCCTCTAATTGCCATCAGCAATATTCTGTTAGTAGGGGCTGAAATGGAATATTCTGCTCTGCACCATTAAAGTCCCTTTCAGCAGGACCAGGCAGAGCAGTTTGAAAATAGGTATATTCAAGGTGCATTGCAAAATGCAGCAATGGTTAACTGTGAAATAGTCAGGAACTGAGTCTTTTCTTTAAACAACCTTGGTTTACAAATCCTGTCATTTCTCCCTACAGATAGGAGTTGTCACTCAGGGGGAGCTGTCATTGTAGTGACACATTGCAACGTGAGCTCCGGGGTAATTGTGCTGATTAGGAAACAAAATATTCATGTCCCGTTTGAATGGATGGGAAAATTGTAAGACAATTTTGTGCTTGGTTAAGTTAATAACGTACCTTGTCTTCTGATGTGTTCCTGTGGGAAGTGGGAACCCAAAAGTGTGCATCACATGAGCTGACTTTAATGCCTCCTCACAAGGAACTCGCTGTTCTTGCCAGGGTAATCACTTCAGAGGTTGTTCCAAGTTCATCCATCCAGCTTCTGGAAACCAGAGAGGCCAGTGGATCAAGAGCAGCAGTGCAGGAACTAAATATCAGAACATACAGCTGCTAATTAAAAAGTAGTAAAAAAATTACAAATAGACCAACAGAAGTGCATAAGTAACTTGGGGGCCCTTTTCCCTCCAGTTTTCTGGAGGTTCCAAAGTGGGCAAATCCAACATTTTTATCAGGAGCAAACACTGTGCAAACCTGCCGTAAGTACTGGTTTATTTGCCATAAATACAGTGTACAGAATCTTGAGTAAAAACACACTTCACAAAAATTGGACACCTGACTTTTCCTGCCAAGCTAACAATCTCTGTGTGAGAGTCCCTTTTCTGGAGAACTCCTGAGAAACAGCAAGGAGGAGGAAAGCAGCTTACCCCGCTATGCTAAAAGCCACCAGCCAGGGATAATTCTCTCTCTCTCCTTTCTCATTCACAACAGTGCTCTTGGAAACAGATTTATTTTGTGCTTACAGTGTCTAATAACAGCTGTTATGCATTTATTGTCCCGCTATCCTGACACAGTAACGTTATCCTACTTATCCCTGTGACTCTTTCTGACATCAAAGCCCACCATGACATTCTCTGATGCTGTGACAAACCCGCAGTGACCTGGGGCTCCATGGCTCTTCCCAGTGCTCAGTGCACTCCATTTAACTCCCCCAGTGCTAATGGGCACGAGTCACTACAGGGTAATTGCCAACAACCAGAGAAACCCCCTCCATCAGGAAATGCCCCCTTTTCGTGCCAGCACTGGTGGAGCTTTGCTTTCAGGCACGAGTATTTAAAGCAGCATTGCTCTGTTGATTTATTCCTCACATCAGGGATATTTTTCAGACACCCCCAGAGTCCATTTCAGTTCAACAGGGCATTGGCTTTAAATCCAATATTTCCAAGTCCCATTCCCACCTGCTGCTCCTGTCTCCACTGATTTTCTGTGGCTGGGATGGAATTTCTGACTCACCCATCACACGGCTCCTCAAACAGATCCCAAATGGTGGGCACAGTCTGCATTTTCTTAAGACAATTCTTTAATATTATCAAGCTCCAAAATTCACCATTCACCAAATTATCAGGCACAAATTGCACCATTTTTCCAAATGACTGGGGATGAGATGTGGAAATGGGGAGAGATACCAAAAGCATAATGGGCTTGTCCACAGTTCCTATTTTCTTCTAGAAGCAAAGGAGACTCATTTTATAAAACTTTTCAGTGTCTGGTCCTATTCAAAGACAGATGCTGCACACAGCCAGAGATCTTCATTTGTTTGTAGCAAAAGACTGTTAAGCATAAAAAATTAGTCATTTAAAGCAGTCATTTCTTCTTCTCCCTAAATTCCCCTTAAGACAGAGTTTAAAAAGTCAAACTCTTACTGTATACATGACTTACCTTGTAAAGTTCCCTAAGGTTCTCATGAATTTCCCTTTTATTGTTCAAATCATCACATGTTTGTAACCAGGTACAGTGACCTGATTGAAAGCTTAATTTAAAAGAGGAAAAAAAATGGGAGAAAGAAACATGAGGCGCTGGAGCTAAAAAAGGATATTTAGAAAACAGAGTAAATATTAATCACAAACAGTTTAGTTCATCTTTTCTTATGGGTGAGCAGTAAGCTGGAAAAAAAAATGCTGAAAAGTTTCTTTCAGCCATATTTTTCTATGATCTGCAGTTGTTATGTCATACAAAGTGGTACTTGAAAGGAATTTTACTTGTATTAAAAATGAAAAGCTTATGTCTCTCTTATTTAGGCAAACACCCCCGCAGTTCAGCAGGCATAAAAGTATTTGTTTATTCGATCTTGTTACCTATTCTGTAAGTTTTTATAACCTTCTAAAACATGAAGTAGCACACTGTGTAATAGCTTCTCCAGCTTTCTCTGAAAATCCTTCCCAAACAGCAGCTTAATCTCTTTAAACACTTGTCCAACATTCTCTGCATGCATTGACAGCGTGGAATGTCTTCCAATAATAAAGAAAAATAACAGCATGGTATTTATTTTATTCCTCATTTCCCCTGAGCTCTGTCGTATTTGCAAGATAATGATTACTTCATGAGAGATTAACCCATCGTGTGCTTAGGACAGATAGAAGTTGTTTATTCTGCATTTTTGCAGCCAAAACAGAAAGGTTTGGGTTTGTTTTGGCAATTCCATTAATACCAAAAATTACTTTTGGTATTAATAAGAAAATCTTGAATCAGTGGGACTACCCTGAATATTCCTAAAGACATCAGCCACAGAGGAATAATGTCAGCCTTTTCTTTCAATACCAAAATGAAATAAAGCAAGGAAACAAGCTGGAATGAGCATGTCATAAATATTTTTCAGAGGAGACACTCTTCATCCATTATTCCTCTCCTCACACAGACTGACAGACAGGCACGAGGTGGGCGAGCAGTAGGATGCCTGCTCTGATTCCTCTTTGATTCTCTGAGATCATTTTGCTCTCACAGGAGCAGCTGAGATGAACACACAGGATTTTTCTGCTTTGCCTCCCAAATGAAAGCTGGGAAGGTTCTCCCTGGGTTTTCTCCGTGGGCACAGCAGCCCAGCCCAGCTCCAGCACGGCTCAGTCGGCACAGGGACCTGGGACAGAGCAAAGGCAGCCTCAGAGTGCATTGACAATGTGGTTTATTGCCAATAAACCACCCCCAGGAGCTCTCCTTTACAGCACACACAAGCCCAAGAGACCATTTGAAATAAGACAGGAACATCCAATTTGGACTCAATATATTGGGAAGATCCACAATTCATTCTATCGACCTAAAGCCACATTTTTTGAAGCGTAACTGTGGTTCAGGGCCACACAAAATGTTGGAATTTAGGGTATTTTTTGCAGTTATTGTAATCATAGCTCCAAGTCAAATTAAAGAGCACGAGCTAATTGAGCTCAGAAGGAAATATATTCAGCTCAATCCCTGTTGAAGCACTGCCGCCTTCTTCATGCTGATTTCTATTTAAACATGGAGAAATGACTCTAAAAAAAAAAAAGAAAAGTGAATTTGAAACCACTTGGGATCAGCAGGATTAGAAAACAGCCACTACTTCTTAAAAAGAATTGGACAGAGGAGAACTGAATCAAGGGTAAAGCAGCAGGGGTAAGACAGAGGGGGTGAAAAATAAGAATACTGATCAAATTTGTAGCATTGCTTTAGTCACTGTTGAGGCACTGCAGGGCAAGAAAGATCTGGGAGGTAAATTGTCAGCCAACATCACCTCAAACACCTCCAGTGCTGCTGCCTTGCCCAGGTTTACAGAAGCTTTTGGTCTCAGGGAATGAAGGATTTTCAGAAATCCTTTAGGTTTCAAAAGTGAGCGGAAAGTGAAAGAGCTCAGGCTGACAGGGAGCACCGGGATGGAGCAGACACCATTCCCAGTGCAGGGAGGAACACAAACACACACAAACCATCAGAATATCCCAAAAAAACTCCAACAAGCTGTTAACCATCAAATCCCAAGCAGCAGAGCTTCCTTCAGCCCCTCAGTGCTCTGGACCAATTATTGCCCATCCACCCTCCAGGCTGCACCTTCACTTTTTAGGCTTTTTGAACCTGCAGAACTGAAATGCACAGCTGATATTTGCTGCTGCTAAATACCTCTTCAAATCTTTCTGGCAGGAAATATTTAGTAAAAGAAATCATTATTTCAAAAAGAAATCAATCTGCAGTCCTTGCTCTCACACAGCATTTCTTGTCTCCACTCTCTCAGAAAACTTTTAAATGTGAAAAGTCAGCCAGACTAATGTTGTCAGGATTAGATCTCAAAAAAGAGAGCAACAAACTCACAAATTAAATAAACCTCATTTCCAGTGTCCTTGGAAAGAACAGAGCTATTTTTTCCCACAAAGCCTAAAAAACAAGAGAAGTTAAAAAAAGAAAGAGAATCAATGTAAAATCAAATAGATCTTTCTGTATAGAAAAATATACTGAAATCATCCCAAACAGGAACAAAGATGCTCATCTCTTCTGGATTCCTGTAGTTTTAAAATCGATATCTCACAATTAACTTTGACTTCTGGCACAAAGAACCAACTGATAAAAAAATTGATGAAAAAAATATAATATTTCAAATTAAAATTAACAAACATGTTGAAGATTTTTTAAAGATTATGCAATGGCAAACTGTTTAATAAAGTTGTCATGTTTTTCTTTCCTGAATTCTTCATTCCAAATCTTCCATTTTGGTTACTTTGATGTATTTTATATTCACAGTGAGCAGTTGGAATAAAAGAAGAGAACACAAATGGTGAAGAATATTCATACTATATCAATTAAAAAAAAAAAATCCTGACATAGAAGCTTCTTTTTGGTAAAGTTGCAAATCCCAAAGAAAGTCTGGATAAACTCTGCTTGCTCCCTAGACAAGTTTATTACCATAAACTCTTAGTGCATTTATCTGCTAGTTTGTCAGATATCTTTTTTTTCCTCACATTTTTCTACAAAATTAGAGTAAAAAACTAAATACTCAGCTGGAGGGTCTGAGTCCTTAAACAATATTCTGTCTCACAGTTACATTTTAAGGTTCTTTTTATGCACTGTAAATATAATTTCTAGTAGTACTTAAAACATTAATCCAAATCACCCAGACTTAAGGGCACCTGCCAGTTCAGATTTCTGAGCAGCATTTCAGCTGACAACAACTGCACACTACTTAAAAGTCAATTTAATGTGCACAGAGTAAAGAATAATTTTTAAGAAAGTCACTGAACTCTTGCTCCATTGGAGACCCAGCCAAGGCATTAATTAGAGGTATCAGAGGTATCAATTTAATCAGATTCTAGCCCAGCTGCTAGCGAGGGTTTGGTGAATATGAGGTTTTCTCTGCCCAGCAGCTCGCAGTAATTACGGCCTCCTCACTCCTCCAGGGAGGAGGTTCAGGGTTCACTCAGCACAAAACCAGCACCTCCTACACGGAGTTAGAGCAGAGGGAAAGGAGAGGAGAGAGCTGCTGCATGTGCAGTGCTGGGAAAGAAAGAGAAATAAATTGTGTGCTGGCTGCTGTTACTGCAGAACTTTGCTCCCCCTTTATGGTGAGGAAAGAGAGGTCAGCGTTACCAGCAGAGCCTTCCTCACTCTCATCCTCATCCCAAGGAATTGTCACCCTGCCAGTGCTGGCTGGGCACCCACTGGGGTGTGGGGACAACCTGGGGGCAGATCTGGTCAGGGAATGATTTTGCTCAGATGATTTCCCCGGCCTCCAAAATCCAGATCCAGGTTCAGCAGCACATGGGAAGTTCAGCATTTCTCAAGATGGTTTTGCTCTGCTTCTAATGATCCCTCCCCATCAGCTCTGCCAGCACAAACAAACCAGGGTGTGCTAAAGCCAGAGCAGATCTGCAATGACAAATGAGACAGGAGCATCAGGAATGTGCTGCTGGCACAGCACAGAATCCAGCTACACATACAATTCCCACCGTAACAGACACACAGCACATTTTTTTTGGTTAAAAGCCTGGAATTAGAGAAGGCAATAGTTACATACAAGATGCAGCTAAAGGATTACTGAAGAATGTTAATTAAAATATTTTACCCCATTTATTACTCATGCACTATCCATAATTCATAGATCTTTGAGAAGTCAGACTAATTCTACCATAATGATCTTCTTAAAGATGGCTGATAATTGGGAAATATAATTCTTACCAGAACTTTGGGGGCTGAAGCTACAAAATAAAAACCAAAATACCAAGGAACTCAGATTTTTAGATACTGAGCTAATTTCACAGAAAAGAAAGCTTGCATATTTAGCAGGAAGCCATCAAAATTCAAAATAGAAGCCAGCTTGAAATAAATGATGTCTTATTTTAGTAAGCAAATTTTGTTTAATTGCTCTTCAGAAAGGAATTCAGCTTGTAATGGCAGATAAAGTTTTCAGTGAGCAGTGCATAATAACAAGCATAGCACAAACACAGCACAATAAAAACCATTCCCACCGTGCACAAACTCAGTCCAGAGCATCGTGATTCGAAGATATCAGTCATCCTCACCAAACCAGGGCAGAGTTCTGACATGAAATCTGAACTGAATGCTTCTCTGAAGGACATTCAAATCCTTCTGTAATACTTAAACCCAATTCACCACGATGCTATTCCCGTTCTGCCCTGAAATCAAGCAGCTATTTTAATTATTTCAACACAAACAAGTGTTTTGGGGAGCCAGGGCCCTTTGCTGTGGTTTTGTGCCCGAGTTAATGAACACAGCCCGTGGAACTCAATCCTCTCAGCTCTCTGGATTGCCACAAAGAGCAAAACCAGAGATTTTTGTGCTTTCTTATGGGAAAACTCTGCCTGGCTGCCATCCTTCCCCAGCTCTGTCCCTGCTAAGAAACAATTGATCTGTCAGAGCCTCAAGATGGGCTGATTAAACAATCCCAGGGCTGCAAGGATTACATCCCACTATCTCCAGTCCACTTCCTTTCTATCCCCACTTTCTCACAAGCTATTTAACATTTTCTCTGCTTTTGTTTGTTTGTTCTGAAGTTTGTCTTTCCTCAGAGAGACATTTGCATTCCTAGGGAAATGTGCACCTTATTTACATATTTGTTAAATCCAGGAATATAAACAGTTTTGAGCATTAGTACACTGACAGAATGTCACGATGTAAATAATGCAAGAGTCTCACAATGATTTCAACACATCTCTCTCAGGCTAATTTGTACAAGTGCTCTGCATTGTGGCATTATTAAGAAAATTATTTACATGCAAGCCAAAAAGAAACAGCTACCAAAAAAAGAAAAAACAAAGTCTTAGCTTAGAATTTTGTCCAACTTCTTACGAAGAAAAGAATTAGATGAGTGAGGGGAAAACATATTAATAAGTCAAGTGAAAAATGTAAAGAAATAGGGGTAGAATTTCCATTCCTTGTGAGCAGTGCTCAGCTGCTGCCAGGTTTGCAGAGAAGCCTCTTGAGAGCAGAGCAATCAAACCCCAAGAAATGCCACTGAGTCACATCTGATGAGCTGAGAGCTGGACCCACCTCTGAATTCCAGGCTCAAATGAGCTTCAGCTATTGCATTTCCTCTTCTATTGCCAGCCACAGAGCAAAGAGGAAGAGCCCTCAGAGACAAAAACTCTCAGTTCTAAAGAGAGAATTGTCTGTGGCATCAAATGACCTCATGAATTTCCTCCTTGAATTCTGTTTCTGAAATATTTTGTGGAAGTCAAATCACACCTTGATTTCCACTGGCCCACAAATGGCATGCAGCTGTTTTCTTAATGGAAACAAAAATAGTTTTCTCTTCTTTTTGAGTTTATCCTGCTGCTGTCCTTTGAATTCAGGGAGAGCTCCACCAAAAGCCCAGCACCACCAAATATTTATTTGTAGGCAAATAAGCTGCTAAGAAACACCCACTCAGATCAGAGCAAGGAGAGAGAGGAGTGACTTCAGTTTACCCTCAAGCATGTGTGTTTTAGGAGAGGCATCATCAAATATTCTCACAGGATAAAGGGGAAAAAAGTTCATTTCCCTTTTGCCCAAAACTGAAGATTTCAGCCCTAGAATGTTCATGGGAGAGATGGGAACCAAACACGTGGCTGTAACTCTGCAAAAACAACATTATTTGACCTTCAGAGTTTAAAATTACACAAGTTACAGCACCAGAGCCCCTGTTTTTAAAACTTCCCATCTTAGTTATCCTTACCCCCTAAAGAAGGGAGCATTAAATAAAGTTGACTGTTACAGAATAAAAAACATATTTGTTTTTTCATAAAGCAATAATAATAACTTTATATAGTATCTATGAATATAAATAAGCACATAATCATTATTGCTAAATATAGAAGTACAAAAAAAATATTTATTTTATATATATTTTTCCCCTGCAAAAACAGAGGTAATTTAAAAATCAGATACTGGTACAAACATATTGAAAGTATTTTTATGTCATAAACACAGTAACACAAGTCTGGCTTTGAGTATTAACATCTCAGACTCAGGATTTTAAATCATGTGTACAGTGTGTGCACAGTGAAAAACAGAATATTGTTGCTCAGAAGATTAATCAAAAACAGAAGCCAACTTGGAAAAACAACCAAAAATCCAGATATGCCTTGGAAGATATTTTTCCTCCAAAATCTTTAAATCAAGCTAAACATGAAAAATGAAGTCAAATACAAATACATCAAGTTAAATCTGAAATATGACAGATGAAACAACAGAATAAAATACCCAGATGTGGCATTTCTTCTGCAGAAAGACTGGAAAAGCAGGGAGCCTTTTCCTCCAAGACCTTCACCCCTGTCCCATGGGAACAGTGTGTGATTTTTCCCTTTGTGTGAACAGCTTTTTCCTTTTCCCTTTCTCAGAAGCCCCAGGGCACTCAGAGTATTCTGGATTTTGGATTTCCATGCCCCAGGCAGGCTGAGACACCGAGCTGATGGCCAGAGATGGAAAAGGCAGGGCTGGAGCTGAGTTTATCCCTGGATTTTCCTTCCAGGATCATCCCCTTGGGCTGCTGGGGGAAAGGGGCTGTGGCACCAGCAAGGAAATAGAAGAAACGGAGTTAGAATTATGGAAATGTAAGTTTGCAGTGGTGGGTTTAGGGCTGCAGCCAATTTCCTTGCATTAAATGAGCTACAGGCTGCTAAAGGAAACAGCAAAAGCCCAGGACAAACAAAGGAAAACCTTTGCCTTAGAAAAGTCTTGGGAAATGGTTCTGTGGAATTCAAAGCACTGAGAAGAGCAAGGCCCTCTCCTCAGGAAATCACACAGCATCCAGCCAAGCTAGATTTATAAGTACAAGTGAGATAAAATAGTGTTATGCCAACATCCATCTCCTCTCAGGTACTACAGAGCAAGGCCATTAAATTTTCCAGATTTTCATTGCTTTATCTCCAAAAGCACAGAATATGTCAAAGCTCCCATGCCAAGGACTATTAATTTCTTATGTCTGATCTAATTGTAGCTAAGGATGTTTGGAATGGGGTTAATGATACAGAAACCAGTCTCTTCTGCTTCCAAACTCGTGATTTGCCCAGACACAAAATCTAAATTTCAAATTATCAAACATAACCTGGGCACTTGAAAAGTTGAAAGAAAGAGCTAATTTGTGGTGGCCTGTCTCCATCATTTTCTTTATCTGGGGAAAAAAAAACAAACAAACAAAATTCCACAAAAAAAAAAATCATTTAAATATTATTTATGCTACTTGACAGACACAGGGACAGCCCACAGCTGAAAGTCAGGCCCTTTGGATGCAGTTACCCCTGCTTTGCTGTGATGTGCAGATAAAGAATAATTCCCACATTGAGAATTTGCCATCTCTAAGAACACACTCGCCCTTGTGTTCCTATTAAATTCACAAAGTCTCAGCTCCTGTAAACAAATGCATCCAATGTTTTCTCTCTGAGCCTCCCTCCTCTCTGCTTTAGCATTTCTTACCTTGCAGAAGAATTTGCCCATTTTTTAGTTTTGCTCAGTGTTTTATAAAGACAAGAGGAATTTATAAGGCAGATTTACAGAGCCTGCAGTCAGGTGGATTTCTGCTGGTTCATCAGCTGAACATATTTCCTTACCCTGGTGTCTCTGGATCTGAGAACTGCAGCCAGATAACAACAGCCCTGGGAGGGACAGGAGGAGCCCAGGGAAGCTGTGGCTGGTTAATGGTTAACGTCCACTGAGAAATTTTCAAAGCATAATTCGCAAACCAGAGTGGCTGGGTGAGGAAACAACCGGTCCTGGGTGCAGAACAGCTTCAGAAAAGCTGAAATCCCCTCCCTGGAAGAGGTGAATCAGAAATCTGGAACATTGACTCAGCAAACACGAGCACATGGTGCCACAGATGCTGGGACTCTGCAGGCTGCCTCCCAGCCACGGCAAGGAAATGCAGAATTTCACAAGAATTTCATCACCTTGTAGGCTACAGAGAGCCAGGAGTAAATTGCTGCTTACTGAAAAGCAGAGCTGGATTGTACAGTGTCCATTTTCATTAATAACCAATCCTGCACATAATTTGAATGTTAATGAGGAAGCAAAGAAATGAGTAGGCAGGCTGTAGTCCACTTGAAAACATCAACTGCAGAAACCAGTCTGAGCATCCTCTGCTAGGATTTCAAACACATAAATATTAATATGCCTTATATTGCTCCCTAAATCACACATGATTAGGGAATTCAGCATTTGTGTTGTAAATGTATGTGTTACACACAGAGCTAAGAATGTTATATAGAATTTTCTTTTTAAATGTACAGCTGGATGCTGCTAGTATGCCTGCCATGATAAAAAAAATACATTCAATTTAATGTTGTACATGAAAATCTTAAATCTTTTTATACATTATTATATTGCATGCAGGAACAAGCATGTTTGATAGCAATATTTCAAAAAAAATGCAGCCTTATTTCCCCTAAATTCCTGTTGCTTTGTTTTGAATTCTTTCCCTCCAGGAGAAAATTAATTTATTAGAAAAGAGACCAACACAAGGAACACGAACAGAGTGGTTTGCTGTGAAAATGGGCAAAAAAGCACTGCCACAGTTCTTTATCATTGCTCATTCTTCCAAAATGACAACTTTATATAACACTAAGAAGAGCTGACTGCTTCCTATCCCCTTGTACTGACAGCTTTTGGCATCAGCAATTATGACTCAATTTCAAACACCCCAGAGAGAGCATTTGAGCGTGAGCACCAGAGAGGGGCCAGCTCCTTTTTAATCGGCTATTAAACATAACAAAATGGCATTTGAGTTCTGCCTGGTCATTCTTTACCTTCCAGATTATCTAGGGAAAAAAAAAAGACCCAACAAACAAACAAAAACCAAGCTGGTAGGCAAATGAGAAAGGCTCCAAAATGCAATTAAAGCAGAGAAGAAGCAGAGTGAAAAAGGCTGAGCAGGAGCAGTGGAGAATGGCTACTGCTGTAAATCTTGACATGACAGGATGCTTATTCCAGATGAAGTAGCACTTACTTCCACTAAAATCAGCCATTTATTTCTCATGTATCTTTCCAAATAGGATAAACTGGAGGAGGGAAGTTGGTAAATTTTATCTGCATAATAATTCAGGCATCGTGTGACAGCGTATTTCTCACCAGCTTCCCAAACTGTTCTACACCCCACAGAAGCCTTTCACATTAATAAAACCAGAAACACCAAGGCTGATCAGCCCCAAATCAAATTATTTGTGAGCAGACAAAACAGATTTGTGGCAATTATTTTATTATGTGAATGAATTTTCATTTTTCTCTCCTAAAACAAAATAAGCATCTTCCAGGAATATATATATATTTATTTATTTATATATTTATATATATACATACATATATATATATAATACCTGATTAGTGAATTTTTCAGTCTTGGGGTATGCAGTCCAAGGGACAGCATGGGCTAATTGTCTCCTGCTGCTTCCATTTTCCTTATCAACCATCTGACTTCCTACCAGACAGCCATCAGGGTTGCTGATGTCATTTAAACTCCTAAAATTATGATATATTAATGGCAATAATTCAAATGTAACTGTTCAAAACTATTCCTTTGCAAGGTAGGTTCTGTTAAATGAAACTGCCCTTTTAATTCTGGGTGATTCTGGGGTCTGTGTATTTGTATTCCAGTGAAAGTTATGTTGAAACACCATTTTATGGCTGTCATCACTTAAATTAAACTTTTTCCACGGGATAACGGGGTGTAGTGCGTACCCACAGATGGTTTTACACATCCTAAATAAATGTATAAATCATTTATCTGGTGGTAGTGAGAGTGAGAAAGGTGAAGTTCACCCACAGGGGAAAGCGTTGCATCTTTTTATAAGCCTCTGACTAATAATTCTCTTTAAAGTGCTGATCAACTTGAGCAATTGGGACTTCACACAGTGACATCCCCACCGAGTAAAGATTAGCAGAATTTTCAAGGAGCAGCTTCTGGCAAAGTCCCACGGTGGCCAGGAAATAACGGCACAATACTTCCTCCAGTTTAAACTGTTTATCTTGCTTACACAAAATAATTCCATGAGGTACCTTGGGCCGTCTTCCTTCATTTAGGGATGGAGCCTTCAGAAGAAGAGAGCTCAGAAAAAAAGTGGGTTTGGAGGCAGACAGCCACTCTCACAAGAAATGTTCATGTTATTGTCCTCAGAAGGGTTTCATAAGCTCCTGCCCTACATCCTTCCTTTGCAAACTCCCTGTCTTGCTTGGAGTGCTGGGAATGGGATCCTCTCAGGGCTCACCCACGCTCCACCAAGGAGGGGAGGAAAAATAAGAAACCCTCACCTTAAACTGTCCTGATGGAAAATGGAACCACACTGGGCTCTGAAACATCACACCAAGGAGGTGATAAGCAAGGTTTCATTGTCTCCTTTTTCTCCCCAAACCCATTCAGTGGTTAGAGACTCATTAACAGA